AAGCAAAATTAATTACAGAATATGCAGTCTATGAAAGGAACAAAAATGCTTTAAAAAGAAACTTAAAAACCTTACAAAAGAAAAAGGGGGATAAAATAATTTTTATTTGAGGTGGCAAAAATTTTTCCTAGATAGGAAGAAAGAGAAGGAACCACCAGCCAGGAGAAGAGCAAATGGAAAGCTGCTGTGAGCAGAGAGAATGGCACCCTGTCCTACAGCAGGGAAGGTCTCGGGTTGAGCTTAGGGAGTCTAAGTCCGGGATGGGTGAAGTACCTCAAAGAAGGGGATTGTGGCATTGAATCCCCTTCAATGCCTGGAGTAATTGGGGCCAGATCATACGGAGTCTTATAGGCTAAAGTGAGAACTTTGATTTGTTTTTCAGCATACTATAGGAGTACAAATGTTAACGTTACGTATATTGCCCTTGCCCCCCTCAAGTCAGAGCTTCAAGCGTGTCCATCCCCCAGTTGGTGCACATTGCACTCATTATGTATGGATATATCCATGCCCCCACCCCCCAGCTTATTTTCATTAGCAAGGAAAAGCAGCATAGATTTCAGTAGTTCTCCAACATGGCTGCACGTAAAAACTACTTGAAAGTTTAAGAATACAGAGTAGTAGGCCAGTCTCAGGAGATTGGGTTCAGTAGGCCTGGCAGTCTAGGTTTTTCAAATGGCTCCTACGTGATTCTGATGGGGCTGCTCTACAAATGTCACTTGGAAACCATTGGTCAAAGGATCAAAGTGTTCTATTATGATTTGAAAACTTTGAAATCTATTCTTGGTTTTGTCAATGACTTGCTTGCTGTGTGACATTGGGCAAATGGCCTCAAGGTTACTAATGTGTGATTTCCCGCTTATAAAATGAAATGCTTTAGATCCTTTGCTCCACTGGCATGGAGACGACACAGGGTGCTGATAGACAGTGGTAGAATGTTCTATGTGAAAGGTGCTTGGCACAGGCTATCAAAGAAGCCTTGGAATCTCTGTTCTGGTAAGGGCCTGTCTGTGTTTACTGGTCTAGCATACGATGCCATCATTCTTTAAAATGGAAGTCTACTCATTTAGGAGTCTCTTGATTCATGCTGTTTATAGGAATTGTTTTCACTAATTATCTGAAGAATTCAGACTGTCCCTCCTCAACCTCACCAAACTGGAAGAAACGCACAGCTGTAGCACCACTGGAAATCCAAGTCCTGCTGGGTCTCAGTCAGCTTGCAGAGCTGTGACAGAACCCCACCGACTGGATGGTCTAAACAGGAGGTATTCATGTCTCACAGCTCTGGGGGTGGAGAGGTCCAAGACCGCAGTGCAGGCAGACCCCTCATCTGGTGCGGGCCTGCTTCCAGGTCGCCCACGGCTGTCTTCCTGCTGTGTCCTCATAGCCGGGCACAGAGAGGGCAGACTCGTGTGTCTCTTCTTGTGAGAACACTGACCCCACCATGATGGCTCCCCCCTCCTGACTTAATCACCTCCCAAAGGCCCCACCTCCTGATTCCGTCACATTGGGGGTTAGGATTTCCCCACCTGCGTGGTGGGGGAGGGACCACAAACACTCAGTGCCTAACACTAAGCATCTGAAACCTGAGCAGGATGGGTGGCAAGATTTAGGCTTCAGTCCCCTTCAGGGACTCTATGGGGAAACCAAATTTCCTGGAACTGGGAAGAATCCAGGATGCTCTGAATTCCTGGCACAATCACGGTCTGTTTTGGAACAAAATGGCCAGAACCGCCCTATGGCACTTAAGTTCCAAATCACATGGATGGGACCTGAAGACTTGCCCATGAGTAGGGGCTGCCAGGCATGCGCTCCAGGCGGCACGAGGCAGCCCTGCTGGCCCTGGGCCTGCACACAACACTCGGCAGGAGGCTGAGCGGGGCTTACACGCCACCGTCGGGCGGGCGCGGGCGGGAGAGGCTGGGGAGGTGGCTGCTCAAGGCCATGTTCCCTGCCAGGGAGAAGAAACTGCGAGGAAGGAGGATCCATGGGGCTGAGGGGCACAGGAACCCCTGTGGATGTGGAGAGGACATCGGCTCTCCCAGGGAACCAGGACTGTCCCCAGCTTCTCCGCACTCCTGCCCTAGTGCCACCCTCGGTGCGGGGCAGCAGTGTGAGCCCGCCACTCTCCTGCCTCTGCCGGCGTCTCCCGCCTGCGAGGGGGTTTGCAGCCTCCCAAACACCCAGACTCACTCCTCCCCATCCGAGTTTGATGTGTCTACCCTCACCCCTTAGGCTGTTAAACTGGCAAGGGAATACATGAAATCGGCATTCTTGAACGCTTCTTTACTCTGGGCAAGGAAAGGAAAGACTGTTTCCATGGTCGAAGTATTCCAACCAATTCAGAGAAAAACACCACATGAAGTCAAAATATTATCATTGTGGCCAAGCAGGGGTTTTCCTTTATGACCGTGCTGACGCGCAGGGTTTAGAGCCCCCCTCTCCCCTGGTGTCCGTGGTGTGCCCTCTCGCCAGCTGGGGGTGTCGGGTCAGCAGAGGTAGGAAGCGTTCTTATCTGTGAGAGGTGGTAGAAAGAAGAGTCCCAGGAGGATACAAACTCTGCAGTGTGAAAGAAGAGTAAAATATCCAATCTAGGAGAGGGGCAAAAATGAGCCTTGGTACAGTAAAAAAAAAAAAAGCTGCAAACCTTTCATTGGAAATAGCTCTGGGAAGGCGTGTTTAAATGTCATCTTTGTGCAAGGAAAGGAACCATAAGCTAGCAGTGCACAGCGTGCGATTCCATTTGTGCAAAGTCCAAGAACAGGCACAACTCACCCGTGCCGCTGGAGGTCAGAAGAGTGTGGCTGCAGGGCGCTGTGTGTCGTGGGGGCCAGTTACCTGGGAAGGAACACAAGGGGACTTCTCGGGGCTGGAAATGTTCTGTACCTTGATCTGGGCAGTGGTGACCCAGCTGTATCCACAGGTCGAAACTCCTCGAGCCTGTCCTAAGATTTGTGTGCTTATCCATATGGCATTCATCACTCAGTACCAAAATGTTAAGTGGAACTTCTTTGCCACGCCGTGCACGCGGCATCTCGACACAGGGCATCTGCTGTTGGGTAGGGTGAGGTGCTGTCACTAAAGCTCCGCACGCACCGGAGCAGTAAGCCTGTCACGGCAGAAGCTCCACGGGGTTTGGTGGTGGGCAGACCCAGGTCCACGTCCTGCTTACAGGTTTACTCTGGGTGTTTGGAAAAGTTTTATCTCTCCCAGGCTTGGGCTCCTTCTCTGAAGTGTGGATAATCACATGTACCTTTAAGTGCTGTCTGAGAATTCAACAAAATAATGTATGTAAGTTGTCATGTCAAACACCTGAAACATAGCTTAAAAATGGTATTTATTATTAATACATAGTAAGTATATGTCCACATAGACGATGATGTTAAGGAATTCCAGTCATAAAAATCAGATTTCTATTCTACAATATTCCTGGAAATAAATGCATGAAATCTAAATAATTATTTAATAATAAATAAAACACTCCACTTATTTCTAAGGAGATATTATTAAAATATGTCAAACTATTAAAATATTTTATTATTAAAATTATTTGAAGTCAAATGCATTTAGTGATGTAAGGTCTTGGACAACTTACTTAACATCTCTCAGTGTGTTTCTTTATCTATAAAGTGGGGGTAAAAATATCATTTCATTAGGAATTGATTATAATAAATCAATTCAATACCATATGAAATGTGCCTTGCAGCATGCCTAACATGCTGTTAATTTCAGTTCAGTGATTCAATTCAGCAAATATTTATTTAATGTCTAATATAAGCCAGATATTATTTTAATTCCTAGGACTTGAAAACAAGAATGCCACATAGCCTCTGCCTTCTGGAAGCTTCCAATTTAGTGGGAAAAAGAGATGTGCACATTTATGAGACCACGTGATAAATGCTACGCAAGTGTAAGATTAGAGTACTAGGGAGGAACACAGGAGGCCTTGTACAATAGTCGGTTGGGATGTGAGCGTATTTAAATTTAAAGGAGGCATTGTGACACTAGAAAATGGCAATTTAAGGCCATATGGAGAGAGTCAATGGCCAATGGGTTACTTATATTTTAGAATCACCAGCTTGTCTGTAACCAGGAGTGTTCTGAAACTAGAAGTGGATACATAAAAACAGCAAAATGGAAAGCATCGTCAAGTTACAGTGAGTAAAAAGGGGAGTGGAATGGAATTCACAGTAGCAAAAGCACTAATTCCAGTGACTCCAGAGTACACCAGAGGCAGGCTCTCTGGATGGGGTCCTGCCTGTCCATGAGAAGGAGGGACAGTTCTTCCAGGGCAGGACTGAGTCACGTCTGCTGCGAGAATCTGGCGGAAGGTCTGAATGCTTTCTTTCCGAGTAGAAATTAACTTGTAAACAAACGAAACAGTTATGGTAATCTCAGGGAGATTATTGTCCTTTGAAAGTTAGGTTAAGAGTCTCTGTTTTAAAAGAAAGGTCATATTCCTTCTCCTCTCTCTGAGGAATCAATAAATATTAGCAACTTTATCAATTATGTTGCTATATCACACTGATGATCCTTAAATCACTTCTGATTAGCACCCTGAATGTGTGGTAACCTTTTTTATATTCCACGCTACCAGGCATTTTCCCAGTATACTTAAATGTGAGACCTTTTTCCAAAAAGGTCTTGTGCAAAAGGTTTTGTGCATTTCCAAAAGGTTTTGTGCATTTGTGCTCCTTTTTCTTTTGAGATGAAAATCTCAAAGAAAACCTGACTATAAACAATCTAGATGCTGCACTGTTTATCAAACCCTCCTGAGAGTAATATCAGATATTTCTACACAGCACCTACTACTATCAACACTAATAAATGAACGTAATTATTTTTAGCCATGACTTAGACTGGGTCAGTGGGACATTTGGCTAATAAGAACCATCTTCGCCTGCCTGTTTACATATTCTTGTCATAATTGCTGAGGATCGAGTCTTCTCTGGTGGCCTCCTTGAAGGAGTCTGATGAGCTAATTTTGCTTTATGTCTTATCAGCAAGTTCTTGAAGATACAATGCCTGGAAGGTGGAGTCTGGGAGCAGGGCAGCTGCACCCCTGTGGTGTGCGAGCCCCCTTCTCCTGTGTTTGAAGGCATGTATGAATGTACCAATGGCTTCAACCTGGACAGCCAGTGTGTGCTTAACTGTAACAAGGAAAGTGAAAAGGTGAGGAAGACTTCTTGAACTCTGTTTTGGATCATGCTGTGCTCTAATCTTGATAGTCAATCCAAGAATGTTGAGTAGAAATAATCTGAAAGAATCCTAACAGGTAGAGAGTTACTAAGATAGGATACAAACCAGGGTGTTGCTATTATTTGATAAGAAATTCAGAAGATACCACGTTTTTGGAATGCACCCTCCTCAGAACTTCCTCTGAGATAAGAAGAACTCAATGGGTAGGGTACCTGGGCACGTTCCAAAAAATGCCGGGATCCTGATTTGTCAATATGATCTCCTCTCATGCATGGCCACTGACATACGTTGGCTAGGAATGCTAGCATTATGATTTTTTTAGTAGAACAGAGTCCTGAACAGAAACACAAATTCCTCAGCAAAGCTGAAAATGCTATTTGACTATTATCCTCCCTAGAATTTTTGGCACAAGAGGTCTCAAATGAAAACCACAGTCTTATCATGGTTGTGTGACTAAAATCAATTTTATTTTAGAATCTTCTCAAGCACCACACACATACATGAGACAGGAAGTCAAGCAGACTTCCTAGGCAAAGATCAATGACCTTGATTTCTCCCCTGGCTCGTGTCTTTATCTTAGTGTCCAGCACTCCAAGGTAAGCACTGCAGAACAGATGTGAAAAGAACATGCCATAAAATGAGACCCCTGAGAAATCAAACACGTCTGTTTGCACTGATTGGTTCAGGGACCAGGAGTTGGACAGATGAAGGGAGGGTTATCTATTAATACATTTCTAAAATATTACTTTCTTGGGTTTTGTGCATTTGTGCTACTCTCTGTGTTCTAGATGGAGCATACTTTGCAATTATCAGGGGTATGAAGCCAAGAGTTACACAAACTAGCAAACATGTAGAGAAAGGGACTAGAAATTTGGTGAGATCAAAAGCAACTATGGTGAGTCCACTCAAGCAGGAAGGCAAACATACACCTTTAGGAAAATTATGAATTGGTTTCACTTGGTGAAATTCATCTTGAAAAAAATCTGGGATTTGCCACATGTAGCATTTGTGTGATAGCAGGGATGAATCAATGCAAAACAATACCATCTGGGAAAAAAATTTCCCAAAATAGCTCAGAATACATGGGCTATGGTTGATAGCGCATTATATCCTTATATCCAAAGGAGAATACATTGCTAATAAATTTCGTTAATGGTAAAATTGTTCATGATTTCTTCACATGGACAAAGCAAAGAATTGTCTTAGCTTTATTTTTTTCCTGCCAATGACAGCATAGTTTGTTTCAATGATGTCTTTTAGTCCAGGTTCTAGAAGTTGGAGAACACTACCATTTAATCAGACCACTTTTTCCCCCCACTCTCAACAAAGTTAACAAAACAGTAATGAAGATGTTCTTTCCTTTGGATATTCTAGCTTCCCATCCTCTGCACTAAAGAGGGACTGTGGACCCAGGAGTTCAAGTTGTGTGAGAACCTGCAAGGGGAATGCCCACCACCCCCTTCAGAGCTGAATTTAGTGGAATACAAGTGTGAACAAGGATATGGGATTGGTAAGGATGGGAAGGAATGTTGAAGTCTGTTCTCAGGTCATCCTTTTATTAGATCTGGCTGGATTTTGAATCAGATACACTGTTCTGTCCTAAGAGTGTATGGAAATCCAAGTTGCCTCTTAGCTGCTGCATTAAAAATGAAATTGAGGGCAAATTTGCAGGGCTGAGAGTGGATGGATTTGTGGCAGGATTTCCACAATGCCATACATGCTGGGCTCTTCCATTCTCTCTGTGGTTCTTTTTGGAGTGGAGAGTTCCTGGAAGGGACAATTTGAGATGACACTAGCATGCATTGTTCTTCTTCAGCCATTCTTTATCTACAAGCAACTAGGCTCCAAAGCCTGTGGACAACTTCTTATTCAAGTAATCACAACTAAAGGTCTTTGTGGCCAGAGCTAACTCAACTTGGCCCTGGCTGGCCCGAAGCATCATAGAGAAGAGTTGCAGTTGGTACACACCTTGTGAGATTGCTTCTAAATTCCAAACTGCACTGGCAAGGAGTAATTTTGTAGGACAGTCTAACTTGTGTAATGCCAGTGAGTATAAGTTGAGTCCATGGGAAAGCTCACTGGTCACTGTAATGGCTGTTTACCAGCTTCAAGGTGCTGTTTGCACTGTGACGTCCTGCAGTCAGGCGTGCAGTATCAGGGGTCTCAGATACACCCCTTGAGTGGTGCTTCGTGAACAGATTCTCATCCTCCAAGTCTCTAATTTCTGCATGAAAATATCGTATACTCACATATCCAGAGTCCTTAAGAGAGATGTGGTTCTTTTTACTTTAAAAGTCACTGAAAAACGTAGAAACATACTGAGAGCTGAAAAGAACTTGGAGATCATTAAATCTATAGATGAGAACATAGAGAACCCGGACAGTGTGTTTTGTTTGAATAGAACTTTGGGAGACATTCAAGGCAACAGAGCAAGATTTTCCTTCAAGAGACCAACATATGCCCAAAGTCTCTGCTTCTGATTTTCTGTTGCTTCTTTTAATGACATGGGTTTCTTAGTTGTCAATGTAATGACCTTCAGTGCAGTAACAGAGAGGATAATCCCTGGGGCAATTTCATAATTTCTGAGCCATTTTGCCCCAGCTAGTCAAGTTCTTACATAGTTGTTGGTGCAATTATGAGGTTCCAGAAGATCACATAAGCAGGACATATAGTATATGGGACACGACACATTTAGTATATGGCATTACATATACTAAAAAGGCATTAGCCAATTAGGATAGACTTTGACTAGCTAGAGTCCTGGAGTGGGGTTGTGGAGGTCTGCTGGACCAAAAGTTAATCTTTCCATAGCTGCGTCATGCAGAGATTCAGGGATCCTGGCCAGGGGGCTTATATTGGACCTGACAGAGGACACCATACTTGAAGCAAGGGGAAGGCGCTTGGGGCAGTAGGTCTCTGCCAATCAGTGTGAAATTATTCCTGTAGGTACACTGTAGAGGAATGCCATCCCTACCTGTAACCATCATAATGTGATGATGCAATTCGAGAGAAATTCCTCTTGGAGATTCAAAGCTATTGATTCCAGGATGAAAAAGACTAAGGTCTGGGAAGTTGAAGTCTCTGCTGTAAATTTCTGTCCCTTCAGGTGCGGTGTGCTCCCCGTCGTGTATAATCCCCCCCAGTGACCCCGTGACGCTGCCTGAGAACACCACTGTGGACACTCTGGAGCACTGGATGAAGCCTGTCAAAGTCCAGGTGAGAAAGGGTCATTTTTACCGGCCAAAGGTGTAAGGCTGATGAGCAACTCTCAGCCAACAAGATATTCTCTGGGGCAATTTCCAAGGCTTTTGGAACATCCTTAAAGCAAGCACATGCTTGCCACATGGATCATTCCTAGAGAGAAGGATTAAACTTCAACAAGAAGAAAGAGGAAAGCTTGAGGAAAAAATGGCCACATCGAAAGGAAAGGTTGAAAGATAAAACAGAAGGAAGGCTCAGAGGTAGTAAAAGCAGGAAGCAAAATGAAAGAGGAAAATTACTAGTAATGAAAAATAGGACAGAAAGTGTTAGGATGAGCCAAAGAAGTGTGTGCAGATGAGAGAAGGGCGGAAAGGAAAGGATGGATTAGAAAAGGTGAAAATGAAACTGCATATGGGAGAGTGAGCACAGGAACTGAGTAAGAAGAGGACGGCCTTTCCTGTCTCCATCTCCTTCTCTCCTGCCTTCCCAAACCTGCAGTCCTTTCCCTGAGCCTTCTGCTACTCAGAGTCAGCCATCAGCAGAATCCTCTAGGCTGGGTGGCAGCGTCTGCTCTGGGCTTGCTCTCTGCCCGGAGCCTGGGTGTCCCCTGAGGACTCTGCTCCCTGCAGAGCTCTCTGGTCACTGCTTTCTCTCTCACGCCTCTCCTACCCATGGGCCTGTGAGACAGGTAGGCTCCCCCTCCGCTCGCCACTTCCAAACCATTTTCCCTTCCTCTCTGCTAAGGCCACCTGCATTTGAATCTAATGTCAGCAGCAGAAAACACCACCCTCAATGTTGTTATCATCTTCTGACCCTTGGCACACACCCTCCCCTTGCTCCTTAACACTCTAGCTCTGGGGTCATGGTCCCTTCGGCCAGCCTCCTTCAGAACTGTCATTGATATCCACGTCTGCTCATCTGGCTCTTCCAGAACATGAATTCTTAGTTGTACAGCCTCCTTCCCTGCAGGGACCACCTGTACCTTCCAATGCCACCTCCCACAGCCTTCCCTGGCTCACCTTGCGCCTGCCTCAGTGGCTGATGGCGATTTCCTGAGCACACTCACACCTCGGAACCTTTGTCCAGGTATCTGGAAGCTCTTCTCCTTTGCTTTTTCAGACTTTTACTCGAATGTCAGGAAGGCCTTCTTTAGCTATTCTGTCTAAAATTTTAACTCCCCTAACACATTCTGTCTCCCTTTTTTCTCTTTAGGATCTGTTCCCAAGAGTATTGTTTATTTTACTTATTTATCTTATGTATTGTCTCTTTCTATCATTAGTATAAAAACTCAGTGAGGGATTATCTGTTCATTATTATAACTCCAGATCCTAAAATGGTGCCTAGCACACAGTAAGTGCTTAATACATATTTGTGAAATGGATAAATTAAAAGGAGAAAGAAAAGACTATGCAACACCTAAATGGAGGAGATCCTGTTGTAGGTTAGTTGTTTCTTCTTAGAATGGTGGAGGGTGGGGACATCAGAAAGCCTGGGAGCTTTATTGCTTTATTAGATTATTTAACAAAATTCTTGCAAGACTATTCCTGTAGAATGGCCAAAAGATGGACTCTAGAGATATACCACATTCAGTCAAAAATTATTCTCCATTCTCCCCTTTTTCCTCACAGGCTAGTTGTGCTTTATTCCCCCCTGGCGTTTGTGTCAAGGCAGGAGGGTCGGGAAAGAAGCACTGTGACTAAGGGTGAGGGATGAAAACTAGCAAGACCCTGTTCATTCAGCCATTCATTCATTCAATAGACATCTATTCAGCTTACTGTGTTGAGTGCTGGAATATGGAGATGGAAAGTGGCAGTCCCTCTGTTTAAGGGACCTACCACCTGGCTGTGAAAACAGATGTGTGGCATAAGCAACATGGGGAATGCGTGGTTGTGGCAGAAGTGCTGTGGGGACCCTGGAGAGGAAGCAGCTCTTCGGCTCTGGAGCCTGCTGGGAGTTGGGGAATGATCAGTGAACTCACCAAAAAGCTTTTCCTCTGGGTCTCAAACTATGATCCAAAGGAACATTCTAGAGGGTAAAGAACAGTGAAAGTTCCCGTTGGCTGGAAGCAGGGTATGTATGGTAGTGAGGAGGACAGGTTGTGGTAGAAGGGTGAGCTGGGGAGGTAGGCGGACCAGATCCTGCTGGGTGTCACACGCCCCTCTGAGGATGCTGAGCCCAGCAAGAGCTCTGCGTGGAGATGGAGCACAGCACAAGTCCAAGGGCAGGGTGAGGACTCCGTTGGAGGGAGAAAGAGAACACTAGAAAAACACCTGGCCTTCCCAGACGTTTAGTTTCCCTCGCTAGTCGGTTGTTAAGGTTTGGCTAAACTGCAGTAGCCAGCATGACAGTGTCCTGGAGACAGAATTTCTGCCTCATTTTCTTGGTGTGCAGATGGTCTAGCTCCTTTCTTTCAGCCCCATAAACTCAACTTGCTACGATGAAAGACTTGTCTTTCTCTATAAGCAGCCAAAAGGAGAGAAACTTGGACATGCAAGAGCCTTTTCTTTCTCTTGGGACGTAAACTGAAGCAGATCCTTCTGTATCTACTTCACCATCCCCCTCAAGGCACGCAGTGGGAAAAGCGAGGGGATGTCGGGTTTGTGAGGCCCAAGCGCAGGCCTTCCAGTAAGTGGGATTTTGTCCACCCTGCATTTCAAAGGGAATATACAGGAAAGGACAATTTGTTTGTCTTCCTGAAGACAGCAGGGATACCAATTGTAGAGACTTGACCACTTCCACCCTGGAAAACCACTTTCTATTGTATTAAAGCCTTCTTTTTTTCAACTATCCTTTAAGGAAATCATTGTTGTAGTCCATTTACAGGACAGAGGATGAACACAGAACACAAAACACAAACGCAGAACACAAAGAAAAACGCAGACACACATACAAATAGTTGACTCGAGTAATAATACACCAGGTCAGTTTTATTTTTATACTCTAAAAATTAAAGTTAGTTCCTTATATGTAACCACTCAGGCATTGCAGCAATGGCCATATATTCCGGAATACATAATCTTAGGGAGGCAGCTATCCCCTGGCTCAAGGTTTCCAGGTGGTGCTAGGCATAGATCATGGACCGAGTTTAGCAAGGATGGGCAAGGCAAGTCACAGGGGGCATTTCTCATTCCCAGCTTTTCTTAGGGTGATCCCCTAAGATCTTCTGCTGAACCCCAGCAGCTGTGCCTGGCTTAGGTCGCCCCTCCCTTGAGGAGTCTTACCCATCATTGACTAACCAGCCATCTTATGGGGTATACGCAGTATTCACAGGAGCAATGTGTTTATCATGTGGCCACAAGACTCCCAATGCCGTGGGGCAGGGTAGCTCTTGCAACTCAGGTCCTTTGTTATACCTCTAGGCAACACCTTGTTTTTGTTATGCCTCAAGGCAACAGGGGCCTTGTCTGGAACATATTACTTTTAAATGCTCTGGGCAGAGCATGTGCATTACTAAATTTAATTCTTAAACTAGGAAAATATATGTCAGTCTGCTACAAATCATTATTGTCTTTTTGCCTTTATTCCATAGCATTTTGTTTATGTTCACATACCTGGTGCCTTTTTCCATGCCTGACACTTTGTGTCAATCGAACATCTAGTGCAGGCATCCTCAAACTGCAGCCCACAGGCCACATGAGAGTGTTTTTGCTGGTTTGTTTTTTTACTTCAAAATAAGATGTGTGCAGTGTGCATAGGAATTTGTTCATAGTTTTTTTAAAACTATAGTCCGGCCCTCCAACAGTCTGAGGGACAGTGAACTGGCCCCTGTCTAAAAAGTTTGAGGATCTAGTGAACAAGCAAAGAAATTGCTCTAGCAATTGTTCTAACACCATTTTCTACTTCAGAAGTAAATGTATATTTTCTACTCCAACTGGGTACAGTTGCTGGAATATCCTTGTCCATTTCAAGTTCCCCACCTCAGAAAGAAAATGTAGAAGACTTACTTCTCCCTAAGCTGTACATCAAACATGATCATTTGTATCATTGCATTTGTCATGGTCTGGTCAGTAAATTCTTGGTTTTGGATGTAGGTTGTCCAGGCATGATTTTGAAGATTATCATAATGTTAGAGGAACATGATTGGTCTTGGAATTAAAAATGTATTTCTTTTAAAAGCTGAGATTTTACTCATAAACTCTGTTATTCACCAACGTATTACCAACTGCATAACCTCAGGAAATGTGCTGCATCATGCGTCCACTTCCTCACATGTGAAATGAGAACAATACCTATCTCATTAAGTTAATATGGGTATCGGGTAACGATAATATGGATAGAATTTAACTTGCTTGGTGCGTGGGAAGTTTCTTGATCAGTTGCCATTCTTATTCAGGGTGGGATGTCTCCCTCACCTGTGTCTGCGTCTTCTCATTTGTAATGACATGCCCTGCTCTTAATGCCTTAGGGGCACAACTGAACCATGTGGCTGGTCGCAGTGGGCCGTATTGTTAGGGGCATGATTGCTTTAGTGCAACTCTTGAGAATTTGTGCTGAATTTCTATGTGAAAAAAAGTGAAGTAGTTAAGTTTTCAAAATGTAGGGGAAGAATTGAGGTAAGTTGAAAAGGAGCCTTACCCTCACCTTGTGAGAGTAATTTGTTCCTGAAAAAAAAAAAAACCAGCAGTCAGAATTTCAAAAGTTGAAAACATAATTAACAACATTTTTATGTGTTCCTGAACCCCAAATTAATATTCTTGATACCAAAAGAAAATCAAGGGGTTAATCTAATAATTAACACTAATTATCACAGAATAGAAAAACAAGCTGTTACCTGTGCTCTCAGTTCTTGCATAGGTGTGGAAGAGTATCACTTACAAAGCTTGCAAGGGGCACTCAGTATTCAGGAAATTGAAACTTTATTGTAAAAGAAGAACAAGAAAAGTCACGGAAGCAAAGGAAATGATGATGAGATGATTGCCTTTATATACTTGGTGCTTTTAAAATGAGACTATGCACCAACCACCAGTGATCTCCCCATGCCCATCATTTGTGGCACTCAGTGGCTCATGAGGGGT